AAAGATCAATGTGTGGATTTTTTTCTTTTTCAAGATCATAGCATCAGGAAATTAGGGCCATAGGGTCCACACTGAGAACTTACTTATCCATGTGAATTCTCTAACCTGTTTTACTCGATTATGTTCAAAACATAGTTTGAGAGTTGTAAATAGTATATGTATTGTTTATATTCCAAATTATTTTTTAGCTATATGACTAGAATTTTTACCTATACCTTTGCTGATAAGTATTTTAATGCGGAAATCTTCTAATAACTGTTAATATATAAAAATATAGTTTACATATTTAAATATTTCTAAAGGACCAAATTTCAGAAACTGTATTTCACTGCAGAGCATGTCGTGATTCAGTGAAAATCCAACACGAGACTAATACACATAAATAGGAAGCTATGGGCTGATTATATTGGGTTTTTTTAAGTTTTGTGTTTTGTTTTCCTTTGTTTTTTTCCCATTGTTGTGCCCAACTGAGGTTATATTTGGAGATTGTTAAATGGATTTCACAAATATGAATTTAGTATATGTCTTTGAGGTTATATGAGTTGTGTATTTGGAGACTTTAGTCCTGCTATTTAGTAAACATTTGAAATGTGTTATACTTGTGCTCTAGTGGACCTGGTAATCTCTAACCATGCAGAGCTTATTACTAATGTCCATATAAAAGAACATCTGGGTAGCAGTGACCATAACATGATTTCATTTATTGTTAGCTATAAACAACAAGCACATACGGGAGAAATAAAAACACTCAACGTTAAGAGAGCTATCTTTCCAAGGCTGAGAGCTGCTCTCCAAGACTTAGACTGGGAGGGAATATTGGTATCAATGAACACACTGCAAAATATATTCCCATGGGCAACAAGTTTAAAGGCTAAAAATAAAACCTATGTGGCTTATGGCCAAAGTTAAAAAAGCTGTAAACAATAGGAAAAGAGCTTTAATAAAATATAAAAAATAAAGGAATGCTATCATCGTTTAAACATTACAAAGAATATAACAGAATATGTAAAAAGGAAATCAAGGCCGCAAAATGAACAACAGATTGCAAAAGATAGCAGGACAGACCCCCAAAAATTCTTCAAATATATTAATAGTAAAAAGGTCAGGTCCGAGCATGTAAGTCCTTTACAAAATAATCTAGAGTGGGTGACTGGGGACAAAATTAAAGTAAATGTATTAAATACCTTCTTCAGCTGTGTATACAAAGGAGCATGAGGGACCTCTTGTCCATAATGGGTATGCAATTCACACAGGCCCAGATGATCCACTTTGGCTCATAACTCATATGATCCAGAAATATTTAGATAGAATAAAGGTGAATAAAGCACCTGGACTGGATGGCATACACCCATAGGTCCTTAAGGAATTGAGCTCTGTCAATTCAAAGCCATTCTTTCTAATTTTTAGGGACTCTTTAATGACTGGCATAGTACCACTGAATTGGTGTAAGGCCAAAGTGGTGCCTATATTTAAAAAGGGATCAAAATCTTTACCAAGTAATTATAGACCTGTTAGTTTGACTTCCATAGTTGGGAAGATGCTGGAGAGTTTTAAAAAAAGACCACATAGATGAGTTCTTGCTTGAAAAAAATATTTTAAGCAACAGACAGCATGAATTCAAGAAAGACAGAAGTTGTCAACCAGATCTGATTTCTTTTTATGAGGAGATAAGCAAAACCTTGGGCAGAGAAGTGGGTGTGGACGTGGTATACTTGGATTTTGCACAGTTCCCCACACACGGCTAATGTGTAAGGTAAAGTCTACAGGCTTGAAAAACTCAGTATGTAAATGGATAGAAAACTGGCTAAAAGATCGTATTCAGAGAGTAGTGGTTAATGATTCATACTCTGAATGGTCTACGGTCGTCAGTGGTGTACCCCAAGGTTCAGTGTTGGGACTTTTACTTTTTTAATATATTTATAAACGATATAGGGTCTGGGATTAAAAATACCCTTTCAGACTTTGCAGATGACGCCATGCTGTGCAGTGAAATAATGTCCGTACAGGATGTCTCCAACTTACAAGCCGACGTCAATGCACTGTTTAATTGGGCAACCATGTGGCAAATGAGGTTTAATGTGGATAAATGTAAAGTTAAGCACTTGGGGGCTAAAAATATGCATGCATCATACATACTAGGAGGGAGTACAACTGGGGGAATCAATGGTGGAGAAGGATCTGGGAGTTCTGGTAGATCATAAGCTTAATAATGGCATGCAATGCCAAGCTGCGTTTTAAAAGAGAGCAAAATCCTCTTTTGTATTAAAAGAGGTATAGACTCCAGAGAGAGATATCATTGTTCCCATGTACAAATCATTAGTAAAACCCCATCTGGAATATGCAGTTCAGTTTTGGGCACCAATTCACAAAAAGAATATTGGGGAACTGAAGAAAGTGCAGAGAAGGGCAATCAAACTGATGAGAGGATTGGAGGAGCTCAGCTATGAGAAAAGATTCACGAAATTGAATTTATTCAATCTCTTAAAAAGAAGAGATTAGAGGGGATATGATCAACATGTATAAATACATAAGTAGTTCATATAGTGAACTTGTTGTAGAGTTATTCACCCTGAGGTCATCACAAAGGACAAGGGGGCACTCTTTATGTCTGTAGGAGAAGAGATCTTATTTCCAAATATGGAAAGGTTTCTTCACAGTAAGACCTGTGAAAATGTGGAATAGACTCCCTCATGAGTTCGTTCTGACCTGCTCAGTAGATTGCTTCAAAAAAGGTCTGGATTTTTTCCTAGATACACAGAATATAAATGGATACTAACATTTATAGGTAAAGTTGATCCAGGGAATATCCCATTGCCTCTCGGGGGGATCAGGAAGAAATTTCTTCTCCTGCATGGATCATGCTTTGCTGGGTTTTTTGCCTTCCTCTGGATCAACTGTGGGTATAGGACTATAACTTTTTTGTTGAACTAGATGGACTTTTGTCTTATTTCAGCCAGACTAACTATGTAACTATGGTCACAACAGATCACAAATACTTTGTACATATCATAATCACTGTACTTAATGTACTTGCATAGTTACTTAACCCTACCACTATTGTTGAAGTATATGCTTGGATGGAAAAAAAAACAATTTTAGTACATATTTGCAATATATGCACATTTCTCATGTTTTGTCTCTTAAAAAAAAGGCAAGTAGTGAAAAATACCTGTTGATCTCGTCATCTCCATAGCATATGGGATACGTGTTCCAAAATCCACTGCTTGGGAGTTCTTCCCTTCTGTACTACAGAACACATCACCTTTCGTCATCCATAGTATAAGGAGCTGTTCTGTAGTCAGCTAAAGGAAAACTAAGGTAGCGATGACAACACTGATTGGCATCTTATTACAGAACAAGCAGTGTTTTCAGCTCACTACAGAAAGACAGCAGCACTATGAATTTCTGGCAATATGAACAGGCATTTTTTCTGTGCTTGGTGAGTTCTTAAAGAGACAAGACATGCGTTAATGTGTGTGTATTGCAGAGATGTACTGTATATCCCCCAGTAAATTTTTAAAGTCAGTTAGTGTTTCACATGTACAGTATATCTGCATTTTCACACTGGGGTAAATTAAAAGATAGAGAATTTTCACATAAAATTCAAACCCTAACAATTGTCTTTTTGTTTGCTACCTTTTTGTCTGATCAACATACGTTTGACATTTTCTGTTATATCTGTTTGGTAAGTGCATAAAAATACCCATTGTTCATGTATGCACATTTAGTGCATTATTTCAAGGAGTCTAATTAACCATCTTAGTTCCTATATAGGCTAAACACTAAACCTAATGAAGATCATTTGAGCTTTCAATTAAAAAAAAAAAATAGTTGGGGGGGAGTGGCGACCAAGCTCTAAGATAGACACCTGAGCTGAGAGCTCTGCTTGGCTGCAGGGGGAATCCATGGACATTGGAGCTTTCATAACTCCGACACAGCTACTGCCATCACCTGTGGGTCCCAGGGCCCTGGCACCATGCCGCAATGCTGCAAAGAGCCGCCACAACCCAGCAAGCTATCGAGATTTTTCCGCTCTATTCCTCACGGGCTACAACAAATGAAAGAGCTGTCACTATCAGTGAAGCAAGCCATCATTATGCTGAAAAAACAAAACAAACCCATCAGAGAGATAGCAAAAACATTAGGCGTGGCCAAAACAACTGTTTGGAACATTCTTAAAAAGAAGGAATGCACCGGTGAGCTCAGCAACACCAAAAGACCTTGAAGACCACGAAAAACAACTGTGGTGGATGACCGAAGAATTCTTTCCCTGGTGAAGAAAACACCCTTCACAACAGTTGGCCAGATCAAGAACACTCTCCAGGAGGTAGGTGTATGTGTGTCAAAGTCAACAATCAAGAGAAGACTTCACCAGAGTGAATACAGAGGGTTCACCACAAGATGTAAACCATTGGTGAGCCTCAAAAACAGGAAGGCCAGATTAGAGTTTGCCAAACAACATCTAAAAAAGCCTTCACAGTTCTGGAACAACATCCTATGGACAGATGAGACCAAGATCAACTTGTACCAGAGTGATGGGAAGAGAAGAGTATAGAGAAGGAAAGGAACTGCTCATGATCCTAAGCATACCACCTCATCAGTGAAGCATGGTGGTGGTAGTGTCATGGCGTGGGCATGTATGGCTGCCAATGGAACTGGTTCTCTTGTATTTATTGATAATGTGACTGCTGAAAAAAGAAGCAGGATGAATTCTGAAGTGCTTCGGGCAATATTATCTGCTCATATTCAGCCAAATGCTTCAGAACTCATTGGACGCAGCTTCACAGTGCAGATAAACAATGACCCAAAGCATACTGCAAAAGCAACCAAAGAGTTTTTTAACCACCTCCCGCCCGCGATATAGTCCAATGACGGGTGCAAGGTGGTTTTCTCGTTCTGATAGGACGTCATGTGACGTCATGCCATTCTCACCGCGCATGCGCAGCTCAGGGAGCGCGCAGCACGGCGATTGTGCACAGGGGATCACCAATCACGGAAAGAGCCGAAGATGTCGGCTCGGTCATGTGATCAGCTGTGTCCAATCACAGCTGATCTCATGTAAACAGGAAATGCCAGTTATCTGCATTTCTCTCCTCTCGAGCTGTCACGCTGGCAGCTCGAGAGGAGAGGAGAGCCGGTAATCGGCTTTCCGTGGAGGGGACATGTACACTGATCATCAGGGCACTGATGATCAGTGTGCGATGATGATCAGTGTGGCCCCAGAAGTGCCACCTGTCAGAGTCCATCAGTGCCAGCTGAACAGTGCCACGTGCCAGTGCCCATCAGTGCCACAATGCCACATATCAGTGCCCATCTGAGATGCCCTTCAGTGTCACCCATCAGTGCCAGTCAGTGTCACCTATCAATACCAATCAGTGCCACCTATAAGTGCTGCCAATCAGTGCCACCTATCAGTGCACATCAGTGCCGTCTATCAGTGCGCATCAGTGCCATCTGTCAGTGCCAGTCAGTGCCACCTAACAGTGCCAGTCAGTGCTGCCTAACAGTGCCAGTCAGTGCCACCTATCAGTGCCACCTATCAGTGCCACCTATCAGTGCCATATATCAGTGCTGCCTTTCAGTGCCCATCAGTGATGCATGTCAATGCCCATCAGTGCCACCTACCAGTGCCTCCTCATCAGTGCCCATCAGTGCCACCTATCAGTGTCCATCAGTGCATATTATCAGTGCCCATCACTACAGCCTCATTAGTGTACATCAGTGAAGGAGAAAAATCACTTATTTACAAAATTTTAAAACAAAAACTAAGAAAAACATTTTTTTTTCAAAATTTTCAGTGGTTTTTGGTTTGTTTAAGAAAAAATAAAAACCCCAGAGGTTATTAAATACCACCAAAAGAAAGCTCTATCTGTCACAAAAAAATGATAAAAATTTCATATGTGTGTTGCATGACTGCGCAATTGTCATTCAAAGTGTGACAGCGCTGAGAGCTGGAAATTGGCCTGGGCAGGAAGGGGGTATAAGTGCCCTGTAGGCTAGTGGTTAAGGGAAAGAAGTGGAATGTTATGCAATGGCCAAGTCAATCACCTGAGCTGAATCCGATTGAGCATGCATTTCACTTGCTGAAGAAAAAACTGAAGGGAAAATGCCCCAAGAACAAGCAGGAACAGAAGACAGTTGCAGTAGAGGCCTGGCAGAGCATCACCAGGGATGAAACCCAGCGTCTGGTGATGTCTATGTGTTCCAGACTTCAGGCTGTAATTGACTGCAAAGGATTTGCAACCAAGTGTTAAAAAGTGAAAGTTTGATTTATGATTATTATTCTGTTCCATTACTTTTGGTCCCTTAACAAGTGGGAGGCACATATGCAAACTGTTGTAATTCCTACACCGTTCACCTGATTTGGATGTAAATACCCTCAAATTAAAGCTGACAGTCTGCAGTTAAAGCACATCTTGTTTGTTTCATTTCAAATCCATTGTGGTGGTGTATAGAGCCACAATTGTTAGAATTGTGTCGATGTCCCAATATTTATGGACCTGACTGTATATATTCAGAGTGTTACCTATCCCTATAACGGACCAATACTTCAAAACCCTGTTGAGTCTATAATTTATCTGGAATGGTAAAAAACCTAGATGTTTGTACTCATGCTTAACCCCACACAGGTCAATAGAAGGTGCAGGTTTAGTAGATATCTGAGACTACTATTGGGCAGTCTGTATGGACCAAATTAAATACTGGTTCAGAGGCACAGATGGCCCACTTTGGCTAGAAGTAGAAAATGCCTTAACTACCCACCAATAATCTATATACACTCCTTTAAGAGACCTATGGAGGCCATGGGATGTCTCCACACTACAGCCACCCATACAAGCATCACTGCTGGCATGGAGACTCTTACATAATCAAAAGGTAAATGCAACCAGATGTGATCATCAGATTCCGACTACATATTCTAGATGCCCTCACACTACGGCCCTTTACACACTATGGCCTAAAGTCCATCAATGACTTCCTTTATGACTCAAAACCCAAACATATAGACTCTATAATAACCGAGTTTAGTTCTAGAGAACTTCATTTTACCGGCGCTCATATTCTGCATTTTTTTAATAAACACCCTATGTCAGAGCCACAAATACATCCCAAAATATGGCAATTCTATACCATACAAAAACCAGTAGAAAAGGGCATATCCCTTTTTTACAACATACTACATAATAAGCTGACCTTCACCAAGACTAACACTATGCTGAAATGGGAAACTAACCTACAATCCTCCTTCACAGAGCACCAGTGCATTTTGTGAGACTTATCAAGTGACCCATTGCGTCAACCACTGGGAGATGACAATAAAGATAACTAATTGATGGCACTACACTCCCTTCAAATTAGCCAAATTTTCCCCTTCTGCATCCTCCCTATGCTGGCACCAATGTAGCCAAATGGGACATCTTCTTCACATGTTCCCTAACTAGTTTTTGGAAGCAGGTATTTCAACTCCTATCATCCACAACAGGCATTCTACTCAACCAAAATCCAAGCCTAGCACTGCTAAATCTAGGCATAGATACACTCCCTTCCTCCTTTAGACCAGCACTCACTCATATACTCTTAGCAGCTCAAACGATCGTACTCAAAAAATGGAAATCAATTGATTCCCCCAACATCTCAGAAGTGATCACCATGGTCCAACATCTCAGAAGTGATCACCATGGTCCAACAAAATCACACATACAAACACTTATTAGCCAATAATTCTCTAACGTGCAACATTTGAAAACCGTTGGAATATCTGGAAGTATAGGAAAATGTTCACATAGACAACCAGATTATCATGAATACCCTGTGCTCCTTTCTACTATGTATTGCTTGTCATACCCCATGTAAATGTACTTGAACGATTACTGTTGATATGCTCTGTTATTGCTCATACTTGTGTACCTACCCCTGAGTTATGTACCTTTTATACCAATAAAAAAAAAAGATGTAAGAAAAAAAAGAAATTGCATAAGTTAGGTGTGAGACATGGCAAAGTGGTTACATTCATAAGGGAGTCTACAATACATACTGTAGAAAAAAAAAATGTTAAAGGAGAGAGAGAGACATACACACACAGGAGTGTATTATGCACAGAGCTCAGGATTGCACTATGCACAGCGTTCAGAGTTCAGCAGTCCTCTACACGCAGAGTGCAGGGTTCAGGATTGTGCTACACACCCATCAAAGTCTGATTGTGCAATCATTTTAACTACAAACAACTATGTAATGGAAGGCCCTGCCTGGATGGATTGGATATAAGTTGATTGGGTAGATTAGGTGGGTCCTCATGTTACCTAGTTTTGATAAATAGAAAATTGATTGATTATGCGGTCAGATTATAATGTGTATAGTGAACCTAAGGTCATCTGGTAAAATAGCCAAATTAACCATGACTGGTGCATTTGCTCCTAAGATGATTATTTTTCATTGTAATTAAATGCTTTTATATATATACAGTCAGGTCCATAAATATTGGGACATCGACACATTTCTAACATTTTTGGCTCTATACACCACCCCAATGGATTTGAAATGAAACGAACAAGATGTGCTTTAACTGCAGACTGTCAGCTTTAATTTGAGGGTATTTACATCCAAATCAGGTGAACGGTGTAGGAATTACAACAGTTTGCATATGTGCCTCCCACTTGTTAAGGAACCAAAAGTAATGGGACAGAATAATAATCATAAATCAAACTTTCACTTTTTAATACTTGGTTGCAAATCCTTTGCAGTCAATTACAGCCTGAAGTCTGGAACGCATAGACATCACCAGATGCCGGGTTTCATCCCTGGTGATGCTCTGCCAGGCCTCTACTGCAACTGTCTTCAGTTCCTGCTTGTTCTTGGGGCATTTTCCCTTCAGTTTTGTCTTCAGCAAGTGAAATTCATGCTCAATCGGATTCAGGTCAGGTGATTGACTTGGCCATTGCATAAAATTCCACTTCTTTCCCTTAAAAAACTCTTTGGCTGCTTTTGCAGTATGCTTTGGGTCATTGTCCATCTGCACTGTGAAGCGGAGTCCAATGAGTTCTGAAGCATTTGGCTGAATATGAGCAGATAATATTGCCCCAAACACTTTAGAATTCATCCTGCTGCTTTTGTCAGCAGTCACATCATCAATAAATACAAGAGAACCAGTTCCATTGGCAGCCATACACGCCCACGCCATGACACTACCACCACCACGCTTCACTGATGAGGTGGTATGCTTAGGATCATGAGCAGTTCCTTTCCTTCTCCATACTCTTCTCTTCCCATCACTCTGGTACAAGTTGATCTTGGTCTTATCTGTCCATAGGATGCTGTTCAAAAACTGTGAAGGCTTTTTTACATGTCATTTGGCAAACTCTAATCTGGCCTTCCTGTTTTTGAGGCTCACCAATGGTTTACATCTTGTGGTGAACCCTCTGTATTCACTCTGGTGAAGTCTTCTCTTGATTGGTGACTTTGACACACATACACCTACCTCCTGGAGAGTGTTCTTGATCTGGCCAACTGTTGTGAAGGGTGTTTTCTTCCCCAGGGAAAGAATTCTTCGGTCATCCACCACAGTTGTTTTCCGTGGTCTTCCGGGTCTTTTGGTGTTGCTGAGCTCACCTGTGCGTTCCTTCTTTTTAAGAATGTTCCAAACAGTTGTTTTGGCCACGCCTAATGTTTTTGCTATCTCTCTGATGGGTTTGTTTTGTTTTTTCAGCCTAATGATGGCTTGCTTCACTGATAGTGACAGCTCTTTGGATCTCATCTTGAGTTGACAGCAACAGATTCCAAATGCAAATAGCACACTTGAAATGAACTCTGGACCTTTTATCTGCTCATTGTAATTGGGATAATGAGGGAATAACACACACCTGGCCATGGAACAGCTGAGAAGCCAATTGTCCCATTACTTTTGGTCCCTTAACAAGTGGGAGGCACATATGCAAACTGTTGTAATTCCTACACCGTTCACCTGATTTGGATGTAAATACCCTCAAATTAAAGCTGACAGTCTGCAGTTAAAGCATATCTTGTTTGTTTTATTTCAAATCCATTGGGGTGGTGTATAGAGCCAAAAATGTTAGAAATGTGTCGATGTCCCAATATTTATGGACCTGACTGTATATATATATATATATATATATATATATATATATTGTGGGAACTCGCTTCAACTGCTAGAGCTTTTCTTGCTTAAGCACACAGCAACTCGCTTCTTTAAGGGCTTTTTTTTGCCCACTTTTATTTAAAGAAAGTTCAAATAACACAAATGCTTCCCACGCAGGGGTATCCACCATCAAGAAATACCAACAAAGATTCAGCCTCCTGGCTTGTACACAGTTCACTGTCTGTCTCCTGCAGACTCTTCCCAAATTATGGCCACTAGCACACAGCTAGTCTGGCTTTTTCACCTGACTCCAAGGCAGAGACCTCCTGTCTGCCGGGGTGGAGCCCTCCTGACTCC